CCCGCTAGTTCTTTCCAGGAGCATTGGTGCTGATCCAAGCAAAACAGAATCCTCGACAATGCCAGTCTTTTCTCCGTTTATCAGGATGTAGCCTATTGGTCTGGTTGGGGGTGGGGGTGGGATTTTTAAAATTCCTCGGTGGTGTTGTTTGGTGCCATCGAGTCATTTCTGGTCCGTAACAACCCTAAACACTGCCCGGACCTGCTCCATCCTTACAGCTGTTCCTGTGCTTGGGCCCATTGTTGCAGCCGCCATGTCAATGTCTTCACTGAGAGTTTGCCTCTTTCCCTGACTCTCCACTTTTACCAAGCATGATGTCCTCCTCCAGGGACTGCTCTCTCCTGATAATGTGTCCAAAATACATTAGCTGAAGTCTCATCATCCTTGCCGCTAAGGAGCACTGAATTCCTAGGAACGTGTCCTTCTGGAAGGTTTGGAGTCCACGGGTGGGACTTGACTACTCGCTGGGAGAAGAATGGCCTGCAACTCTCCAGCGGTCCCTTGGAGGACAGGTCTGGGACCTGCTTCTGAGAGGCCACGGCCCGGAGAAGCCTGTGGAGGAGGAGTACTGCTCTGCAGTGGGGGTTGCCGTGCACCACGACGACAACCCAGACTGGTGGCCTCTACACATCTATCCACCGGAAATAGTACTTCCCATGTGAGACATCTTCTTTGTTGTCTGGAAAATGGTTCTACTGCTTTCCTCGGGCTGCCATAGCCAAGCGCCACAAACTGGTAACTTATAATTCCAACTTAGCCACATGGTGGATTCCAGAAGCCCACACCAAGGTGTCTGCTGGGTCACTCTCCCTTCTGAAGGTTCCAAAGGAGATTTTCCCCTTGCCTCTTCTGCTCCTGGTGGCCCCTGGAAGTGCTTGGAATGAAGCTGTATCACTCTCCCTGCTTTCGTCCTCCATCACCTTCTCCTAGCTACTCCTGGGTCTCTGTGGGTCTTTTTCTCATAAAGACACCGTCACTGGATTTAGAACCCACCTGGATCTCATAGGACTCCCTCTTAACTTGATGACAAAACAAGGTCACATCTGAAGTTCCAAATGGGCATGGATTTTGCAGGAGCACTATTTCAACCCACTACAACTGTTCATAGAGGCTCCCCGCCCCACACACACATAGTAAGGATGTGAATTTGTTCACACGATGTTGGTGGGCTTCCTGTAAGGTTTCCAAGACAGAGATGGCGTCTTCTATATGACGGATCAAAAGGTGCAGAGTGAGAACATATGAAGGAAGCTACCCACCTGGTGCTCAGGGCTCCACGTGACAGGGCCGTGGTGCTGGGAGCAGACAGGAAAGTCTCCCTGCAGGTTGCTTTCCTGGCATTTGAGGGTGCGCCAGCAAGAAGTGACAGTGGCTTGGACTAGGGTTGGAGCAGTGGAGAGGGACACAGGAAGCTCTTGGGAGAAAGACCCAGTAGAACTTGATGGTTGTTTTGAGGGGTTGGGTAGATGCTGGGGAGAGAGAGAGGTCTGGATGCTTCCCAGGAGGGCTGCGGTATCATTTACTGGGATAAGGTGGAGAGGCAGGGTGGGGGTGCAGGAAGAGGGCAGGAAGAGGGCAGAGGGAGGTGTTGAGTTTAAGGTGAGGCATGTTGAATCTGAGTCCCCCCGAGAAGCAATGGAGAGGAACCACCAAGAAGGTGATGGGCTTGGAACTTAGCTGAGGGGTCGAGGCTGAGGTAGACCTTGGATTCCTAAGCCACAGAGGCTGATGAAAGCTATGGGGGTGAATGGAATCACTAGGAAGAGGACTGGGTCTAGGGTGGACTTGAACCCTAGCAGTCCACCTTAGTTGCTGTTAGCAGACAGAGCTGAGGGAGAATAGCCTGGGGGTAGGAGGAAGAGGCCAAAGTGTGCCATTATGTAAACCACGAAAGGAATATGTGGAAGGAGGAACTAGTAATTCTGCGAAATGCTACAGTTTCTTTCAAAATGGGCCCTGTTCCTGTCTCTCTCACTCTAATCTCACCATTGCTTCAAGAAAGTCTAAATTCCTGATCATGGAAACCAGTCCTCTCACAAGCAGATGCTGATACACCTCTCCAGCCTCATCCCCCTTGACGGCTCCCATCACCGCCTTCTCGCCAGACAGACTCTCTGCTGTCACATGGTACGTGCAGCCGAGTCACCTTGCCAGTGTCCATTTGCTCATAAAGCAGGTTCTTTTTTTGGACATCTACCTCACTGCCACTCTCTTCAGTCTGTGTGGCTCCGAGGTCACCATCTGTGGCCCTTCGTGACCAGCTGGGGAGGATAGGGGACTTGGGAAATATGATGAGGTTCATCCAATCTGAGTGAGCCTCATGGGAGTCTTAGAACACAGGACTGGACTGAACTTCCAAAGCAGACTGGAGTCTAGACAGACGGTGCAGGACTGCAGGCAGCCCTGTGGTGACCGTGGGGGGAGAGCAGATCTGAGAAGAAGGGCCACACGTGAAAGAAGGCAGCAGAGCGACGAGACAGAAACGCTAGTTTTGGTGACGTTCAGTCCTTACTTTAAGCCAGGCTGGAGCTGGAATAAATCTTAATTATGCTAATTATTGATTATTAATATATCAATTAAATTTTGTTTTCTTTGAATATTTGCTTAGGGTTTTCTGTTTGCAACAATATGACTCCTAACTAAGGCACAAATACTGTTCCGGTTGCTTAACATGTTTCCCCATTTCCCCACCTGGAACACCTGGCTGCTCAGGGAAGCCTTCTCGGACTCCTCCACACAGTCACCCCCTCTGTCCTACCTGAGAGCCCACTAGGATCATGGGGGGGGGGGCGGGTACACGCCTGCTTCCTCAACTAGACTGCTGTTCTTCAGTATAGGAACCGTGGCTTGTTCTTCAACCCTGATGCCTCACAAAGTATCTGGCACCTGAGAGTCACTTATCAAGTGCTTCCTGAATGAATGAACAAAAGAATTATAAGCATGGGGGAGGGAAGGGCAAAAAGAGGAGCTGATACCAGGGGCTCAAGGAGAAAGAAAATGTTTTGGAAATGAATGAAACATATGTACAAGTGTGCTTAATACACTGAATGATGGATTGTTATAAGATCTGTAAGAGCCCCTCAATAAAATGATTAATTAAAAATAAAAGAATTATAAGTAGAGGTGCTAACACTGTTTCTGTATTTTGCTGTGGCCATGACTCCAAGATCACAACATTCACTGTCAAGAAATGGGAAGATACTGGAAGAGGTTGAAGAAAGGGTGAAATCAAAGTCACAGCAATACTTGAAGCAATGAAAAATCAGGTGTATCAGTGTCATTATTTTAATTATAGAAATGGCTTCTCAGAATATAGTAATAAATAAATAAATAAGGCATGCCCCTTTATTCCCAGGTGGAATAAACTCATTTAGCTCGGCCACCACGGAATGACTTCACAAAAGCTGGCATTCGAAGCTCATTAAGCCAGGCTGGCTTATTATTTCATAATTGTATAAAATGTTCACCAGCTACAGAAGTTCCTTCCAAACCCAAACAGTCCACGGCACTTAACGAGGAGGCTCGAAGGCTCGGCCCCAGGACGGGCTGGCAGCTTCAAGGCCGCCCGGGTTATCCTTAGATGGCTACAGGAGACTTCCAGAGCAGGCAGTCGTTACTGTGGTAACAAGCACAGGAAAGGAGAGGGGGCTGTCATCTACAAAAAACGGGAGGGCACACAGGAAGCGCAGTGGAAATTCACAAGGTTTCTTCAATTAAGAATGGCCATTCAACATCCGGTGCTGGAATCCGAGTTGCCAAAACATCAGCCAAGGTATCAATACCTAGTAGCTCCATTGTCCTGGCTGCTGCCAGGGCTCTTGAACCTGACGAAAATGTTTCTCAGGTCTGTGAAACGGCCTGTTTATATATATTTTTAAAGGAATGTTTTCCAAGCTAAATTTAGATTCAGACTTCGCTTCTAATTGAATTTAAATCTAATGTAACACAAATACTGTGAAGGCAACTTTTCCCTTGTGGTGCTCACCACTTCCCACTATTAACTAGAGCAGCGGTTCTCAACCTGGGGGTCGCGACTCCTGTGGGGGGGTGTTGAACGATCCTTTCACAGGGGTCGCCCGCTCCACAACAGTAGCAAAATGACAGTGATGAAGTAGCAACGAAAATAATGTTATGGTTGGGGGTCACCACCACGAGGAACTGTATGAAAGGGTGGAAACATTAGGAAGGTTGAGAACCACTGACCTAGTGACTCTTTTATACATATGTGGGTCCGAAAGGAAATGCTGGCTGACAGATGCAGAACAGACAACATGAAGCTCCATGCTGCGTCTACTCAGTGCAGAGTTCTACTCCACCGGGGTGTTGGCCTTGAAACACTCACTACAAAAACTACAAGGACCGGGTTTTCCTAGAGATAACGTTCTCATGATTCCACTAGAGGAAGGCAAGCGAGTTGATATGACTTGGTTAATCCGCTCAACATCAGGGGCTTCCACACCTGCTTTATCTGCCTTTCCTGTTTGGAAACCTTCGCTGAACCAAGGTTTTTTGTTTGGTTGGTTTTTTAAATCATTTTATTGGGGGCTCGCACACCTCTTATCACAATCCATCCATCCATCCATCCATCCATCCATCGTGTCAAGCACTTTTGTACATATGTTGCCATCATCACTCTCAAGATACTTTCTTTTTACTTGAGCCCTTGGCATCAGCTCCTCATTTTTCCTCCCTCCCTCATGAACCCTTGATAAATTATAAATTATTATTATTTTCATAGCTGACATCATCCGCGGTCTCCCTCCACTCACTTTTCTGTTGTTTGTCCCCCCCCCCCTGTGTGTGTGTGTGTGTGTGTGTGTGTGTTAGTTATATGTCAATCACTGTGATCGTGAACCAAGGTTTTAAATCTTTGTTACTTTTGTCAGGGTGAAAATGATCTCGAGAAGACCAGCACGCAAAATCCAGGAACCCTAGCACAGAGCCTGAAAGAGGAAGGGCGGCACGGGTCGGGGAGAGCCACGCGGGACTCTGCGATGTACCGTATCTGACTATCCTCGGCTCCCAGGAGGAAGGACCAGCGGAACTTCACGACCAGGGGGCTGCTGTTGGTGATGGTGACGTAGCGGATCACCTCGGTGTCGTTCAGGATACAGCCAAAATCCAGTTCGGTGGTCTCAAAGCTTAGGTTGGGGTAATGCACTTCCCCACGCAGGCTCAGGCTGTCGACCTGAGGGTGCTCCACGTACTTAATCGCTAGAATTTCTTCTGCCACCCAGTTGTTGAAATCATTTCTACAGGATGGGTCAAACTTGACCAGCAGGTTCTTTTCTTCACCAATCTCTAGTTTAATAGGCTGTGAACAAGATGGCAGGGAATTACCAACCTGTGCACAACACATTTCCAACTGATTCATGAAGCAGGCCTACCAAAACTTTCTGATCCCTATATGTTTATATGTATCTGTAGCTGTACATGTACCTGTATGTATGTGCATACACAGCCCCCCCATATTAGCATAAAATAGATATGAGGGGGCTTCAACATGTTCGTGGAAAAATTCCATTTTCTTTTAATTCCATGTTCCACCCCCTTTGAAACCTTCGACATTTACACACATACGTCTAGTTTGTGTGAAAATGAAAGCAAGGGAAAATAGTGACATTATTATAGGAAGGGATTTTAATTAGAATTGAGGAGTTATTAGTATTGGTGAGTCGTAAAAGAGTCTCCAATTATGAGCTATTATAAAATACTCTTGACTGAAAGTCAGTTAGCTTGTGAAAGGCTCTTTCTAGACAACTTGGAAAAGGCTTTGGCTTAAGAAAAAAACTTAAAGGCTTTATAAAGTAAAGGGGGGTGTAGGGAGGGGAAGTGCAGAGAGTGACCCAGAAAGGGACAGGGTAGGTAATTTAATTTATTTCCTAATGTCTGCGATCCTAACTCTTAAACACCCTGTTATCTACTTTCCACTGCTTTTTATTCAACTCAACATGACACTCCCGAGCAGGACAGCGTTTGCTTGGTACATTTTATTTGTTCTTTTCTCTCTTTGAGTCAGATCCCCATGTGGTCCTAGATGCCGGCATCTTCAGTTAACACCTTCCCATGGAAAGGCTGGTTATGAGCTGGCTTTTTTTAGACACGGAGCTAAACTGCATGGACCTCGTGGCTTGGCAGAGACTTGTGGAATGCCACGGAATGGGTCTGTTTCACTGGGCATGTCCACATGGAATGGCTTCAATGGTTCAGGTGTTTAATCATGGCTTCAGCAACATGATTAGATAACTTCGGTTGATAAAGCCAATCACCTGGTTCACGAATCCGAGCGAAAGAGTAAAGGCTCTTCCATGACCTAATCTCATCGGAAAGCCGGGCCTGCCATCTGTCCTTCTATCCGAGCACTGGCATGGATGCTTGATGGGTTGGGGACACTGGTCTAGCTATTTCTTTGTCTCACCAGCAGATTGGAGGAGGAGGGTGCTGTTAAAAGATCTTCACTATCATGGGTAGAAAGTTACTGTTCTCTAAAGAGTGGCTTCATAACATGCAAAGGGTTATTACCATGAGCTGAGGTTCTTACACTGTTACTGATCGTTTTTCCACTGAATGACACTGGAAATTATTTATGACTCATCTAAACATTTCTATATTCTTTCCTGTGTGTGCCTTTGATTGCTTATCATTTGTTGGGCTGAAACAGGGCAGTGGACTGCTATAATGCTCTTCCTTTAGGCCTCAAGACTCCACCCCCCCACCCCCAGGGGCTTAGGATGACAGCCCCATGTTCACTTACCTCAGGAGCTATGGGAAGAGGGGACTTATCAGTTTCACATATAAAAAATGGTCCAGTTGTGGAGAGCAGTATGTGCACAGGCAGGGTGGAAACATTCTTTATGGCCAAGGGCTGGTAATTAGATTCCAGGACAGTGTTAGGTTTCTGTGAAAAAGGAAAAAAGAGCCCAAATTCAAACCAAGTTTGAACAAACACAGTAAACTAAGTTTATAGCAACACATTCTTATCTTGATAATGGACATATTTAACAATGATAAATACATATGAGCAGTTTTCTATATACCTACAAAATTCACTTGAACTCTCTGATGGGCTACTGAGACGTGAACCCATAGAAATCTGAAAACACAGGTCTTCTTGGCTGTTTCAAAAAATGAATACAAGCCGTGCTTCTGCATAGAACTGGGACTCTGGAAGTTTCCACGGTGTCATAAAACCAAGTCTAATAAACTAGTGATAGAATCTTGTGGGAGAATCCAGGTATCATAATGAATAAAACATTTCTTGCATACACGAAACTTTTCCTCCTATGAGCAAAATACAAAATTGCAAATCCACAGTCGAACCTTCGACAACTCAAGGCCTAAGGAGCGCTGACTTCCTGCGCAGTTGAAAATGCATCTATCATCTACAGTTGGTCCTTGAACGGCATGGAGTTGAACTATGCAGGCCCACGTCAGCGCTCGAGCTATTGCAGTGAGCTCCAGTGTTGAGTTTGCTTCAACTGCCGCCGTGCATGCTAATCATCTCCAGACGAGCAGGCCCTGGCTCCAGGTAAGGGGATATTCACAACACTGATGCTCACTGCAACAGCAGCAGGAAACCCCCAACTGCATAGAAGTGGGCTCATTCTGTTTGAGCCCATGTTTCTAATGGGTCATTTGTACTTGGCTTTTATGACAATGATGAACGTTCTTAACTGTTTACTGTAAATTTGATTTTGAAGCACCTTTTTGCTCTTAGACTTATCAGATTTAATTTTCAACTGAAGAAAGCATTAGAAATGGGTCTTAAAGGCTTGAAGGTAAACAAGCAGCCATCTAGCTCAGAAGCAACAAAGTCCACATGGAAGAAGCACACCAGCCTGTGTGATCACAAGGTGTCGAAGGGATCAGGTATCAGGCATAATCAGAACAAAAAATCATATCATTGTGAATGAGGCGGGGTGGAGTGTGGAGTGGAGACTCAAAGCCCATTTATAGGCCACTGGCCATCCCCTTACAGAAGGGTCTTGGGGAGGAGACGAGCCAGTCAGGGTGCGATGTAGCAATGATAAAACATACAACTTTCCTCTAGTTCCTAAATGCTTCCTCCGCCCCTCACTATCATGATCCCAATTCTACCTTACAAATCTGGCTAGACCAGAGGGTGTACACTGGTACAGATAGGAACTGGAAACATAGGGAATCCA